GAGGCTTAAGCCCCTTCTTCTTCATGCTGTGGTCTTAATCAAGCATGATACTCCAAGCACACCTTGGATCCAAAGTCCTCCTGGTGACCACACCTCAGCCACATGGCCTTTGTGACATGTGAGTTAGCCCTAAGATAACTAATTCTGCATGGAGCTAGACTCCTCTTGCAGCTAGACATACTGAGTGAAACTTGGCCCTAGCTACATGCACTGCGGCAGCTTCTGGTGTTTTCCATCCATACAACCCCACTTTTAACTGAGATTTTCCCCACACCACATAAATGAAGCGAAAGAGAAAGAAGACTAGAATGCATTATCTTTTGATTCAATCTGTGGAGAGTTTCAGTGTGGAGTACTCACAAGGTCCTGATCTTTGGCATATGGTTGAAGCTGGTCAGAGGGATGCGAGTAATGTTGTTGTTGTTGAGAGTACTATTTAAACAAAAAACAAGAGAAACACACATTGAGATTTCTATTACTTTGACAGTGAAATTTATAGAATATGCAACACAGAAACAATCAGAATGAAGCTTTAGAAGGCATGTAAATTATAAATATCAATAAATGAAGACAGAAATAAAACTACCAGCTCAAAATAGTAAGGTGAACAAACAAAGAAATTCTTTCCAATTTATCTGAGGATGAATTTAGACTAAAATTGTAGACTCCTGGCTGGTGTCTTTCAAATTAAGTATTTGGAAGTATGAATATTTTATATGTATGGAAGATTTTTATATAAATATGTCATTTTTGTTTTCTTTACAGAAAAATTCTGAGCCATGAGTGCCCAACAAATTCAGCCAGCTATCACTTACCTCTGTCCTAATGAAAATACATGTAGATTTTTATGGGATATTTGTCCTTACGTTAGTATACAGGGGGGAATTCCAGAGCTATTTCAGCTTGGAAAAAGTACAGGGTTGGGGGAATCTCAACCCAACTAGTGGCCAAGTATATCATGTAATCTGGTACTTGGAAGTAACTTTTGGGCAAGAAGGGGACTGATGGGGAAAAGGAAGGCTCCAAAACAGTTTCTGTATCCTTGCTCTATTTGCAGGAGCTTGACTCCAACCAATATGTTTAGGAAATAACCAATTGAAGAATATTCCCAGAAGCGAACAAAATCAAACAAAGTGTCTGAGCATATAACTCAAGAGACTATGAAGGTAAGGCTTTCTTTACAATGATCTGTTTCACTCTTTGGAAGCGAACTTTTTGTATCAGTGTTTTATATGTGAAAATAAGCACAGGGTTGCCAACCACCGGTGGGGCCTGGAGATTTCATGGAATTACAAAAGATCTGCAGACAACAGAGATCAGTTGCCCTGGAGAAAATAGCTGATTTGGATATTGGCTTCTATGGCATATCCTACAAAGTCCCTCCCCAAACCCCAGCCTCATATCTCTACGAATTTCCCAATTTGGAGCTGGCAACCCTACACACTATTTTTTGTACATGACAGTAGGATTCACTGTTGATTTAAAAATATTTAAAGAATCATATGGTATTAACGACACTCATTCCTATGTATAGATTCCTTTTTACTGAACCTGTCAAATTCTAATAATCTTGGTCATCTGGACATCAGTTGTAATCGCTGGAGATCTCCAGGTGGCGCCTGGAGGTTGGCTTATATTAACTTGAGGTTATGCAGTGGCAGCTAAGGTAGAAAAGCACCTCCTCCTATGCCACGTTTTCTGGATTCCAAGGGTCTGGAAAGCGGTTCCATAGCCAACTCTGGGTTGGGAAATACCTATAAATTTGAGGGGTAGAGCCTGGGGAGGGAAAGAATGGGGAGGGACCACAGCAGGGTATAATGCCAGAGTCCACTGACCAAAGCAGCCATTGTCCCCAGGAGAACTGATCTTGGTCGTCTGGACATCAGTTTTAAAGCTGGAGATTTCCAGCTGCCACCTGGGGGCTGGCTTATGTTAATTTGAGGCTATGCAGTGTCAGCGAAGGTAGAAAAGCACCTCCTCCTATGCCATATTTCCTGGGTTCCAAGGGTCTGGAAAGTGGTTCCATAGCCAATTACAAGGTTGCCAACTCTGGGTTGAGAAATACCTGTAGATTTGAGGGGTAGAGCCTGTGGAGGGCAGGGTTTGGGGTGGGGAGGGACTTCAGCAGGGTATAATGTCATAGGGTCCACTGCCCAAAGCAGCCATTGTCTCCAGGAGAACTGATCTTGGTCATCTGGAGATTAGTTGTAATAGATGGGAAATTTTCTGTAGTGGAAATGATGTGCTGTGGCTGGGGAACACGGAGATTTCTGGGAGATCTCCAGGCCCCACAGGGAGATTGGCAACTCCATGACCATTTAAGGGAAGATTGGAATATGTATTTTACCTCAGGACACATTCCATGACTCCCAACAGCAAACTGTTTAGAATGTTAGAGGCAAAGGCCAATCAGGTTGCATACGCAAACGATCTCTGTGTTCTGACTGGCTATGGGGGGGAGAGGAACAACAAACTGTTTGGAATGTTGGAGGCGGGACTCAGGCAACGCAGCCAGTGGATAGGGACAGCTTCTGAGTGACACAACATGGAGCCAACTGATTTAGGAGTGTGTGGAATGTTCAGAAAGTGCCACCCCACTTCACAATTATATATAAGGAGAGATGGTATTCCCTTTTAAGTGTCATTTCAAAGGGTAAAACAAAAGAGTTCCTGTTTTCCCCATCAAGTTCCTGGGCTGGGCTGAAAGCCAAATTATATTCCATGTGACAGGGTGGGACAAACAGACTATCAAAAACACAAATATTAACACACTATTTGGGGCTGCTCAGTCACAGCAGGGAACAAACTTTTTGGTGGGCAAATCTATCTTGCAGTGGAGGAGTGATGGGTCCGTCATAGGTGGCATAGGTTTGATTCCTGCTCTTCCACAAGCAGCTGCTGGTGTGACCTTGGGTCACTCATAAGTTCTTCCAGAGCTGTTCTCTCAAAGGCAGTTCTCAAGGGAACTCTCTCAGCCCCACCTACCTCACAGGGTGTTTGTTGTGGGGAGAGGAAGGGAAAGGCCATTGTAAACCAGAGTGGGCTTACTTCTTCTTCGGGTAGTGAAGGGAGGGGTACAAAAACCAACTCCTACTCCTCCTACTCCTTCTTCTCTGCTTTCAGTGGTCAGGTAGTAGGATTTTTTGCCCGTCTAAAACTGGCAGTACATCACTTTCATTGTCAGCAAGTATTTATGCCAGTGCAAGACTAGGGAGATTGGTTTTCATCTTGTTCTGTTTATAACTTTTTATGTCCAGTAATTTTTTTGTGTGTGTCAAACATTTTTAAGGGGATCAACTTGTATTCAGACTTGCCTTCCTTTCAAGCAAACACAGTACCTTAAAAGCTGGAAGTTGGCATTAGTTACCCCTATTTATAAGAGATCCCTCCAATTACAGGCTAATTAATCTACCTGCTCTATTGAACAAAATATATGCTGATTTTTTAACAAATAAATTAAAAGATTTGCTGAAAGAATACAACATAATTTGGCAAGAGCAGTTTGGCTTTTGGAAAGGATGTAAATGCATACAATACTGTTTGTTCCTATCGACTCTCATCAATAAATACATTAAAACCAATGGAGAATCTATATTTGCTGCCTCTGTTGACCTTCAAGCAGCTTTTGATTCTGTATCCCACACTCGTCTATAGGAAAACTTGAACTCCACCTCTATTCCTAAACTGCTATTGGCAGTGATTGAGAATTTATATACTGGGAATGTTCTATGTGAATTCATCTCTGAGATCAATAAGAATTGAAAAAGGTGTACAGCAAGGATGTGCTGTAGCTCCACAGTTATTTTTACATATATATAATTTCTTCCCATATCTGCAAAATAATACTCATGTACCATATTTAGCAAAGCAACTTCTACCAGTGCTTCTATATGCCAGTGATTTAGTTCTTCTCAGCTGAACCTCGATTGGCTTGAAGAAACTCATTAATGATTTCTGTGTCTTTTGCAATCGTGAGTTGTTAACAATTAATTTTGCCAAAACAAAGATTCTGAGATTCTCTAAATCAAAGCATTTGAAGGACCATCCCTGGCAAATTTATGGAGAAACTATTGAAGAAGTTAGAGAGTTTAAATATCTAGGTATTGTTTTTAATATGACTTATCCTGGAACTCCCATATAAACTCTGTCATAAGAAAGAACCAAATGACATTAACTACTCTCAAGAAATTCTTTTATACCAAAGGTGGCCAATGTATCCCACTTCTGTTAAAATTATATAAGGCCATCATTCTTCCCTTTGGAAGTTTACAAATTGCTCTATGCTTCCCCAATCTGGCCCAGCGAACCACTGCATCCTCTTGATAAGCTCCAGCAAACCTTCTTCTGTAAGATCCTTTCTCTTCCTCCCAGTGTATCCTTGCCGTGGTGTGGCTAGAACTCGGATTCCCTCATATTTTAACAATAGCATAGTACCATGCTATCAAGTTCAAATGATTACTCCATGAGTCTAATGTTCTACCATCTTTACTGCAACTAGTAACAGCTGATTCTTGGTTGGGAACTTGTCTTAGCCCAATTGACTCAAAGCTTGCTATATTAAACCTGAGCCTAAATTCCAAGGATTCACTGAAACAATCCTTGTTAATTGTACAAAACCAATTATTTAAAAAAGATTGGGCTATGCTAAAACTCAAAGCTGATCAGAAATGCGCCCCTATCTGCTTCCATTTATCTTATCAGAAAATGTTTGCATTGTCTAAATATTTCTTTTAATTAACAGCCCCAAAATATCACTGCTTTTTCATGTTACTTAGGTGCAATGCATTACCTTCTACTGAAATGAAGGGCCGTTTCAAAAGAATCCCTCTCTGAGAAATGTTTTTGTACTTATTATAAGGCTCAACTGCCCATATCCTTTTTTAGCTGCCTCCATTATAATTCACCTCACAACCAATCTATTACTCCCTGGACTGACCATCTAAAGAACATTTCTGAACAACAGAAACTAAAGCTTTTACTATCAAGCAAGATGAAAAAGCGTACATGTGATTAAGCCATATTTGTCTATGCAGCTGCACATTACTTATAAAATACTCTGTCATATGGCTTGTAGGCTGTTAAATCACAGGGAAAGGAAATGAAGGAGGAGGAAGAGGAGGATTTATACCCTGCCCTTCATTCAGAGTCTCAGAGCGGTTTACAATCTCCTTCCCTTCCTCTCCCCACAACAGACACCCTGTGAGGTAAGTGAGGCTGAGAGAGCTCTGAGAGAACTGCTCTTGAGAGAACTGTGGCTTCCCCAAGGTCACCAAGCAGCTGCATGTAGAGGAGTGGGGAATCAAACCCAGTTCTTCCAGATTAGAGTCTGCGCTCCTAACCACTACACCAAAATAAATAAGTACCTTAAAAGAACATGTGCATTTGCTTTGTGATACCAGGATATATTGAAGCATTAGATGGAGAGAGAATAT